CAGGCTGAGGCAGAAGGATCACCGGAGCCCAGCAGGTTGAGGCTGCGGAGGCCGGGAGCGGCCACGGCACTCCAGTCTGGGCGACAGAGTGAGACTCCAACTCCAAAAAAAAAAAAGGTAGCTTCTTAAGGAGAGCCAAGATTGAAACTCATCTTTTGCAGAACTGCTGACACAGATAAACTGCAGTAAGGATGAGGCAGGTGCTTCCCCCCGCCCCACGACTCCCAGGACTCACAGGGACCTTTGTAGAGCTTTGAGGGGCACTGAGGCCTTTAGGGAGCGTGCACAGTCCTCACAGTTAGGAGACTCAACTCGACTTTGGATCCTTGGACAGACCGAGGACTGATTTCTATTTTTTTTTTTTTTTTTTGAGTTGGAGTCTCACTCTGTCACCCAGACTGGAGTGCAGTGGCCGCTCCTGGCCACCGCAGCCTTGCCTCTGCTGGGCTCCAGCAATCCTTCCGCCTCAGCCTTCCGAGTAGCTGGAATTACAGGCATGTGCTACCACACCCAACTGATTTTTTTATTTATTGTAGAGATGAGGTCTCGCTGCCCAGGCGGGTCTCGAACCCGCGGGCTCAGGCAATCCACTCGCCTCAGCCTCCCAAAGGCGCGGGATTACAGGCTGAGCCACTGAGCCCGGCTAGGACTGATTTCTTCAGTGAGGAAGTAGAGAATCCAGCTTGCAAGAGATATCTGGAGGCTGGGAGGAAGCCACTTTCCTTCCTTGAGCCTCAGTTTCCTGTTTCTAGGGTTGGACTAGATAACCTAAGATCCTCTTTGGCCTTGACCTTCTCGAAGTCTGGAAGGGAGTCTGCTCATTCTTCCTTTTCCAGAGGGGGCATAGGGATGCCTTAGTCACTGACTGTTCCCCTGGCCTCTGGGCTGAGCGAGGGGTGACTGGTCTGTCCCACGAGAAGATGAGAGTGGGCATATCTCATTCCCATCCTCCTCCAAATGCTCTTGCTGACCTGGGCAAAAAAAAATTGCAAACAGGAGGCACATGGTTGGAGGTAAAACTCCAGCCTCCTCCCCTCTACCCATTGGTGTTTCTGGGTTTTTAGGGACTGGGCTGTTTGGCCTTTGCAGTGTACACGGACCTGTAGTCATCCTGGGGACCAAAGTTCAGAGGATCTGAGCACAGTGTACCCTCATCAGACTTCCACATGGCCTCTGATAACTTCACCGGGGGCGGATTTATTCAGGTCAACATGTGTTTTCTCCAGCAGAAATGGCTGCTCTATGTTGGGGGGTGGGGCAGAAGGAGAGGTGGGCATCTTTGTTCCTGCTCTCAAGTTGCTGGTATGTAGTCTAGCCAGGACTGGGATGAGGGAGCAGACTCATAATTCCAGGTGGAAGGGACAAATTATTGGAGAACCACAGAGTAAGCGCCCTCACACTGAAAGGCTTTTATGTTCCCTTGGCACTGTAGCATTGTCAGAGTGAGCCCAAGAACTACTTGTTTGTTTGTTTTTAGAGACTGGGTCTCACTATGTCACCCAGGCTGGAGTACAATGGCACGATCATACCTCACTGCAGCCTCGAACTGCTGGGCTCAAGAGATCCTCCCACCTCAGCCTCACGAGTAGCTAGGACTACAGAGGCACACCACCATGTATGGCTAATTTTTGGTAGAGATGGAGTCTTGCATTGTTGCTCAAGCCAGTCTCAAACTTCTGAGCTCAAGTGATTCTCCAGCCTCAGCCTCCCAAAGTGCTGGGATTACAGGTGTGAGCCATCACGCCTGATCCTGTTGGCTTTCTTCTATGGTCCTGAGTGGTCGGTGATTTGAGAGATTAGAGCAGATTGTCTCTCTGACCCCTTCTATTTGTGACATTGTCAGCTGCTGTGGGGGAGGGAGGCACACCAGGACATAACCCCACTGCCTCAAAAGCACTCCACTGCTCCAGCTGCCTCCCAGGGCATCGATACTCCACTGGAGGAACTCTGGGGGAGCATCTGCTCTTGGGAAACTGTACCTTCTCCCAGGGGTCTCCCCTGGTGTCCTGAGAGCAGGCCTGCTTTACATCCCTCCCTACTGCTTCCGTCACCCTTGTTCTCTCTCAGTCTAGACACTCGTTGTCACCTCCCCGTCCTTTCCCTGTATCTCCACCCTTCCCTTCTGATCCCTTTCACAAAGTAGCAGGGATGCTGTTGGTCAGTGACGTTTATGCTCAGCCAGATGCGTTTATGCTTATGCTTTAATCAGCTTCTCAGCATAACCACAGGAGTCAGGCCAGGAAGCCTTGGTGCCATTTTACAGATGATAAAAGTGAGGGCCCAAAAAGTTCGCCATTTGTCCAAGGTCACTCTGCAATAAGAGAGAGGGAGTGATGAGGCTCGAACTCAGGACTCTTGAGGCCAAACACCTACCTGTCTATCAGCCCTCTCCCCATCAGCCGGCTTTCTTTTTTTTTGCCACTGTGCAGCCTTTCTGCAGATGTTCCCAAGGTGGAGGTGTTGGAATGGGAGCTGGCCTGGCTGAAGGAGCACCTGTCCCAGCTGGATTCCCCTGTGGTGTTTTGTCACAATGACCTGCTCTGCAAGAATATCATCTATGACAGCACCAAAGGTAATGGTTTCTCACCCTGGCCAGGCAGCTGCCGGGCCTAGGCTGGTGGGTCAGCTGGCTGGACAGGCCTGTTCCTCAGACTGGCACTTGGACAAGCCAAAGAAGGCCTGGGTTTAGGTACTGAGTTAATCTGTAGGAAAGAAGAGGAAAAGGAAACAACAAATTCTCACTTAAAAAAAAATCTGTGCCAAGAAAAAAACTCCATGATCTCTTTGTTGTTCATAAGCGTGATGATTGGGTTTTCATGCTCACGTGTGAGCTGTGCCTCCCCCAAACCTTGTTATGACACCAGCACATTACCTCTCAGATGTTAAAAAAGGGAGGGAGGCGGGGAGAAGGAAGGAAGGAATTCGAAATCATGGTTTGTGGAGGTCCTTAACTTTAATGCACCCAAGCCATTTCTCCTGACAACTCTTTGGGCTTCTGAGGACATTGTGGCTGGCCCAAGCCTTCAGATAAAGAGAGAAAACTTCCTGGTGTTCCTGATAAGAGCATCACCCTAGGGAGCACTTAGCTTTATTTCAGATCCTTAGCCAAACTGAGGATGGATGTCTTTAGATGGAGAGAGCCTAGAGACAGTGTGAGGGGGACAGTGGGAGCTGGGAATAGCAGATGGACTAATGGCTGGATGGAAGGAAGCAGCTTAGAGGACTGCTGCAGAGGTGAGACTAGGCCAGGTTGCTGCAGAGGCCAGCAACACAGTGGGTACACTCCAGAGGGCTGCAGAAGCTTGACCAGGCCCTATTTTCAGATCTCCTGCTCCAAACCTCATTGCCTCTCCTCTCCTTCATAGGTCATGTACGGTTCATTGACTATGAATATGCTGGCTACAACTACCAAGCCTTTGACATTGGGAACCATTTCAATGAGTTTGCAGGTGAGAGGGGGCATTACAATGGTCCTGCACTGCATAGCATTGATTCAGTCAAGGACCAACTGTGTATACAGTTATGGTCCAATAAGGTGGCCATAATTTTATGGTAATAGGTACTGTGTTTTTATTGTATGTACCCTTTCTATGTTTAGATACACAAATACTCACCATTGTCCCAATTGCCTACAGCATTCAGTACTGTAACATGCTGTACAGGCTTACAGCCTAGGAGCAAAAGGTTATTCCATACAGCCTAGTTGTACAGTAGGCTACACCATTTAAGTTTGTGTAAGTATGCTCGATGATGTTTGCACAATGACAAAATCGCCTGATGACGCACTTCTCAGACGACAGGTATCCCTGTCGTTAAGCAATGCTCATCTCTATTTGACCTCTGTCCAAGGCACACTCCTCATGATGGGGCCCCCACGGGGAGGGCCAGAGGCGGTTCTGTACCTGGGTAATGAGGCTAGCCCTGTCCACTGAGATAACCACAGCTCTTGGGGTAAAGCATAGCCTGCCTTTAGAGAGCTCCGAGTCTCATGGGGAAGACAGGACCCACATACACGGGCAGACCTCTGCCAGCCCGTAGGGCCGTCTGGTACAAATGAGGAAAACATGCCCCCTGTAGGATCCCTGAGGATACTTGGCACGTGAATCAGAAAAAGACCCCTTCCTCTGGGTGGGCACAGCCCACACTGGCTTGGCCAGCACAGCACGATGTCAACTGCCACTCTTTCCCTTGCCCCAGCTCCTTTGTGCCCAGTGTGCCCTGCACGGTTGTACCTAAGGGCTCTGTGTGCAGGTAAGAGCCGAATAAGCTGTCAGTAGCTGTTGGTCTGATAAGCATAATCTCAATGGAATCTAAGTATGCTCTGTGCAACTTGACTCCCCAAGTACAAGTCCTGGCTTTGCTGCTTCCTGGCTGTGTGACCCTTGGCAGGTTGCTTTACCCCCTCTACCCCTATAAAATGGAGGTGATAATCGTACCTACTTCATAGTACTGGTGTGAGAAACACATACATACACACACATAAGACGCATGCTAAGCATCATGCTGTGTTTGCTGCTGTCTTTCGGCAGGGAAACTTTCCTGGAGCAGGAGCGGCAGAGGTCGGGTGAAGGGAGGGGCTCCAGGGGTAGGTGATTGTTCTACAAGGGCATGGTACGTCCAATAGAACCACTTGCATAAAGGAGGCAGGGCAGGGTTTCCTACCCTGAGGCTTAATTGTTAAAAGTGATTAGATGGGACCAAGGAGGTGACTCGTGGATGGAGCTGGATACTGGGGCTGGAGGGATGTCCCCAGACTGGCATTGTGAGGTGCTCAACAATATATGACCAGCCCCTGCGTCTCAGGAGAGGTAAGGCGTGCCCAGCCTAATGGCACTGACACCCTGGGCCCAGCCTCAGCCACTCCCTGGCCCAATCAGGCCAATTGTGAAACCCCAGGTGACCAGTCTGCCAAGCACTGATTGTACCTGATGGTGAGCTGGTGAGCTGCACGGAGTCACCCGAGGTGTGATGGGGCCTCAGCTGGGCAGAGGCTGGCACCGGCAGGGCACTAGGCCTGGGAATGCCTGGCTGCCCGACTTGCTGGCCTTTCCACAAGGGATAATTCTTAAGCATTTTAAGTCCTCCTCATCCACTGCACAGAGCAAAGTCCAATTGGCATTTCTCCAAAGGGGCAGATTGCATCTTGCTCCCAAGTTGAGAATGGAGGAGGAAGAACCCAGCCTGGGGGAAGAGGGCAGAAGAGATTCAGAGCTGGGAAGAGGGACCTCATGGGTTCCCAGGAGTGAGAAGACACAGACAGTACTGGGCATTGGGAGATGAGAGTTCAACCCTGATTCTGCCTCTTCCTGGTCATGTGACCTGGGGCCATTCCTCTTCCTCTCTGGCCTTAGTTTCTGCATCTGCACGAGACTCTTCTCCAGCCATACTCTTGGGGCCTCAGGAGGCCGAATGTCTTTCTCCTGGGATATAAGGAAAGCTTGGGAAGGACAAGATGAGGGAGGAAGGCGGCCCAGTCCTGGTCCTGTCTTAAATAAACCATTCTGTCTGTACCAGCTCCAAAACCAGGGTCTCTGCCACTATGGCCAGGATGAGGCTGGCAGTACTAGACAGGCAGCGTGAGGGCTACTGGGAAGGCAGGGCTGGAAGGAACCAGAGCCACCTAGGCCATAGGTTCCAAGCCTGGCTATGTACCTGAATCATCTGGAGAATTGGACTGGGGAGGGGAATGCCGTCCAGGTGATGTTTTTTAGTAGCCAGCATAACCCCAAGAAGCCGCATTTGACATTCCTGCATTAAGTCCAGCTCCCTCACTTGATAAATGAAGACATTTTGGCTAGCAAGAGGAAGAGGCTTGTCCAAGGTTAACTAGAGACCTCAGACTGGTAGTGCTGATTCTCTGCTTTAGCCAAGGGCCTCCTGGGCATCTTTGCTTGATACAAGGCACGGGGGAGACAGTGATGCTATCTCGAGGGTTCCGGTCACTCCCAGGACAGTGCTTTGCCCCTTAAACAGTCTGCTTCTCTCTCTGCTTTCCTCAATCCCACAGAGGCAGTGCAGCTGGGATGGGGGGAGACCCCACACTGGCTGAGTCCATAATCCAAGAAACTGTATTCCCGGGGCACAGCCCCACAGGCCAAAAGAGGTGGGAGCTTTGAGGGGAGAAAGGAACACCCACTGAGCCTGAGGAGACCCCAGGCGGGCTGGTCTTTGAGCAGCTTGTGTCTGGCCTGCTTCCCTGTCAGGTGTGAATGAGGTCAATTACTGCCAGTACCCGGAGCGGGAGACCCAGCTGCAGTGGCTGCACTACTACCTGCAGGCCCAAAAGGGGATGGCCGTGACGCCCAGGGAGGTGGAGAGGCTCTATGTGCAAGTCAACAAGTTTGCCCTGGTAAGTACCTGTGGTGAGAGGGGTGGGAGCAGGACAAGAGGAGCAGGAGGAGGGGCTCTACCCACTGAGTCTCCTACTCTGAGCTCAGGGCCAGGGGTGACAGCCTGGGGACACCCACCCTAGGCTCCTGAACCCCACTCTAGAGGTGAAGGCTGGGCACCCTCCTTAATATTTAGATATCCTTTGCCCTGCTCCCTCAGCCCCATGAAGGCTTGCGCCTCTCTAGATAAAGTTTTTTAAGAAACATCCCAGCAGTCGGCTTCGGTGGCTCAGCCTGTAATCCCGCGCCTTTGGGAGGCTGAGGTGAGTGGATTGCCCGAGCCCGCGGGTTTAAGACCTGCCTAGGCAGCGAGACCTCATCTCTACAATAAAATCAAAAAATTAGCCGGGCGTGGTAGCGCGTGCCTATAATTCCGGCTACTCGGAGGGCTGAGGCGGAAGGATTGCCGGAGCCCAGCAGGTCGAGGTTGCAGTGGCCAAGAGGGCCACTGCACTCCAGTCTGGGCGACGGAGTGAGACTCCAACTCAAAAAAAAAAAGAAACATCCAGCTCCTATTGTAGCAATTTTATTGTTTGGACAAGTCATTCTTTTCTATAGTCTAACTTCAGCTTTTCATGCTGCAGTTAAACTCATTCTTTTTTTTTTTGAGGATCTCATTTTGCCACCCAGGCTAGAGTGCAGTGGCATAATCATAGCTCACTGCAGTCTCGAACTCCTGGGCTCAAATGATATTCCTGCCTCAGTCTCCTGAGTAGCTGAAACACAGGTGTGAGCCACCATGCCTGGTTAAGTTTTTTGGGTGGGGGAGAGACAAGGTCTGCTAGGCTGGTCTTGCCCAGGCTGGTTTTGAACTCCTGGCCTCAAGCAATTCTCCCACCTCAGCCTCCAAGTAGCTGGAACTATATTATAGCTGGGTTTGGTGGCTCAGCCTGTAATCCCGCACCTTTGGGAGGCTGAGGTGAGTGGATTGCCTGAGCTCGCGGGTTCGAGACCCGCCCGGGCAACTTGGCGAGACCTCATCTCTACAATAAATCAAAAATTAGCCGGGCGTGGTAGCACACGCCTGTAGTTCCAGCTACTTGGAAGGCTGAGGCGGAAGGATCGCCGGAATCCAGCAGGTCAAGGCTGCAGTGGCCGGGAGCGGCCACTGCACTCCAGTCTGGGTGACAGAGTGAGACTCCAACTCAAAAATAATAATAATAATAATACATATTGTAAGTACACACACATACACACATACATATAAGTATGTATTTTTTTGACCTTTGGAGGAGATAAAAAATGTCAGGCTCTAATCCTCCTTGTAACTACTTCCACTGACTCAAAACTCTAAGTAAGCCTTTCCCATCAGGTTCTTCCTGCTCAGATGACTGTGCTGTCAGTCCTCAGTTCTGAGTGCCATTTATCCGAGGTACATGGTTCATGCCAGGTCTCCACTGGTATGTTCCCAAAGAATTGCTAACTAGTCTTATTAATGTCAGCCATGCATACGCAAGAAGACAAGTCAGCGGCCTTGAATTTCACAATTCAGAATAGAGCTAAATAAAAGCGTTTCTTTAATTTCAGATTCCCCATTCTATTTTCCTCATTGGCACAAAACTGCTTCTCCATCAGGATCTTCCTCCTCAGTGTTCCACCTTAAGAGCAAGCCTTCCTCTTGCTGTTTTTGTTTTTTTTGAGTTGGAGTCTCACTCTGTCACCCAGACTGGAGTGCAATGGCCGCTCCCAGCCACCGCAGCCTTGACCTGCTGGGCTCCAGCGATCCTTCCGCCTCAGCCTTCCAAGCAGCTGGAACTACAGGCGCGCGCTATCATGCCTGGCTAGTTTTTGGTTTATTGTAGAGATGAGGTCTCGCCAAGTTGCCCGGGCGGGTCTCGAACCGTGGGGTCAGGCAATCCCCTCGCCTCAGCCTCCCAAAGCACTGGGATTACAGGCTGAGCCACGGAGCCCGGCCCTCTTGCTGTTTTAATAATCATTCGTACTCATCTACACCCCTTTTAAGTCATGCAAGAGAAGAAAATAGAGGGAGGGGCTTTGTGGCCAACCCCTGAGTGAGCAGGACTCGGGTTGGGGGGAATGAGGGGGCACGATATGGGGAAACTTTGTGTGGAAAAGTGATGGTGTCACTGGTGCTTGTTCAGAGGCAGCTGGGAGTCATAGCTCCCTGGCTTCTTGAGCTGAGGTGGCCTGGGGCTTGCGGGGACCTCTGGCTGCAGGGAAAGTGCAGTTGAATGCTCAGCAAATGCCCGGACTTAGGGCTTCTTGCTCCCAGGTCTAGACTAATTTCCCAACCCAACCAGCCTCCTGGTGCAAGAGGTCAGTGCAGTGGGTCTTCCAGCAGACTCGTGGCCAGGGCACTGCTGCCCGTCGCTTCTCACCTCCCTACCCCTTACCGACGAGTACCAGCCCCTCCAGTAGCCACCAGGCCCAAGCTCTGGCTTTGGGATTCATCTTGGCCCAGATTCCTAGGTCTTAAAGACTGTAGGAGACTCCCCTGGGTAGAGAGGAGGCCAGGGGTGGAGTGGGTCTTACTAAGACTGGGGGAACCATGTGAATTCCTCAAAGCACCATTCGGCTGACCCACCCCCCTCTGGGGTAGGCAAACCCTAGGGCCCTGGTAGAGCAGGCTCTGCTTGCCTTTTCCTAGTAGGACTGGAGCCCCCAAATGCTGTATAGTGACAGCCTTCAGAATTTTGGGAGATGCCTACCCCAATCTGCCAGTACCCTAGCTTTGTGTCTTCCAGAACGATATGGACTCTAGGCATAATAGGCATGGAGGGTTTGCCTGGCTGACCCTCTCTGGTCTGTTTCCAGGCATCTCACTTCTTCTGGGCTCTCTGGGCCCTCATCCAGAACCAGTACTCCACCATCGACTTTGATTTCCTCAGGTGAGTGTGGGTGGTAAGTTGGTGGGAGGCAGGGGGCATGTAGAAAATGAAGAACCTTGAGCCCAGGTGTGGGGGCAAAGGACAGCCCAGGTAGAGTTCCCAGAGTCCTCTCCCCTGCTCTGCTGACTTGTCCCCATCCCAACCCTTTTCCAGTGGGGCCACCACCCCCAGGAGATGCTGAAAACAGACGTGCCGCATCTTCCCTGTGCCTTGTAGATCTGCCGGTCCCGACTGTATCCTACTACCCACTTTACCACCCCGTCCTGCTACTGGCGCGCCTGTCCACAGAGCCTGGTGGTGAATGGTCTAAAAGATCACGAGTCCTACCCTCATCTGACAGGAGGGAGGACAGTTTCGGAGAGCGGACGTAACTTGCTGAGGCTACTCAGGGGTTCACTGCTTGCTGTGCTGCCTCCCTGCACGGGGTACAGACCCCACTGGGCCTGGAATGGCTCCTCGTGGTATATATAGGGCCATACCTAGACAATATGTGAATGCTGACAATTCAGGGGGTCCCTGCCCCATCAGGCACCTGTCCCTAAGGATCGGGAATCATTTTCTCCTCCGCTTAGCCCAGACTTGCCCTTTTTCTCCTTACCCACCCTCAGCTGAAAGGGAATTGCTACCCTGGCTTCAAAGTGTTCACAACTGGTGGAGAAATGCAGACGAAATGCACAGTGAACCGGATGCGGTGACTCACACTTGTAATCCCAGCACTTTGGGAGGCTGAGACAAGAGGATTGCCTGAGTCCAGGGGTTCAAGACCAGCCTGGGCAGCATGGCGAGGCCTCATCTCTATAATATATTAAAAAATTAGCTGGGCATGGTGGCACATGCCTGTATCTCCAGCTACTTGGGAGGCTGAGGCAGAAGGATCGCCTGAGCCTAGCAGATTGAGGCTGTGTTCCAGCCTGGGCAATAGAGTGAGACTCCGACTCAAAAAAAAAGAAAGAAAAAGAAAAGCACAGTGAAATATCACCTCATACCTATGAGGTTGGCTGCTATTAAGAAAAAAAAACAGGCCAGGCACAGTGGCTCATGACTGTAATCCCAGCACTTCGGGAAGCCAAAGCAGAAGGATCACTTGAGCCCAGGAGTATGAGACCAGAAGTAGCCAGGCATGGTGGTACATGCCTGTAGTACCAGCTACTCAGGAGGCTGAGGTGGTGGAAGGATCTCCTGAGCTTAGGAGGCTGAAGCTGTGGTGAGCCATGATCATGCCTCTGCACTCCAGCCTGGACAACCAGAGTGACCCTAAACAAACAAACAAAACAAAACAACTGTCGGTGAGGATATGGAGAAATTGGAACCTTTGTACACTGTTGGTAGGACTGTAAAATAGTGAGCTACTATGGAAAAGTGTAGTCCCTCAAAAAATAAAAAATAAAACTACCATATGATCTAGCAATTCCACTTCTGGGTGTATAGCCAAAAAAATTGAAAGCAAATTTTTAAAAAATAAAAATTATATATGTTAATCAGTCGGACTCTCACTCTGTTGCCCAGGCTGGAGTGCAGTGGCACGCTCACAGCCACTGCAGCCTCAGCTGCTGGACTCAGGCGATCCTTCTGCCTCAGTCTTCCAAATAGCTGGAACCACCACGCCAGGTGGCATGTGCCGCCACGCCAGGCTGATTTTTTGATTTATTGTAGAGATGAGGTCTCACCATGTTGCCCAGGCTGGTCTCGAACCCCTGGGCTCAGGCAACCGCTCACTTCTGCCTCCCAAGGTGCTAAGATTACAGGCATAGCCACCTCGCCTGGCTCAAAGAAATATTTGTACACCTATGCTCATAGCAGCATTATTCACAGTAGCCAAGAAGAAACAACCCAGATGTTCATCAACAAATGAATGGATAGATAAAATATAGTACATGATTACAATAGAATATTACTCAGCCTTAAAAAGGAAGTCCTGTCCCATGCTACAGCCTGGATGAACCTTGAAGTCAAACATATAAACCAGTCACAAAAGGACAAATCCTGGTCGATTCCACTCACAAGAGGTAACTAACATAGTTGAATTTCATAAAATCAGAAAGAACGGTGACCGCCAGGGCCTGGGGGCAGAGGGAAACAGGGAATGTTGTTTAGATAGGTTATAGGGATTCAGTTTTGCAAAACTGAAAAAGTTCTAGAGATCCATTGCACAACAATGTGAATACACTTAGCACTTCAGAGCTGTGGAAACGAAGCTCCAAACATGGTTTTGGAAGGGTTGCTCTAGTCTAAGAAGAAAGTTATGGTTGAGGTTAAAAAAAGTCCGTCTGGGCTGAGGTTGACCTGCCCAGACCTAGAGAAACTTTCCTCATGCCACGAGCAACCCCGGCAAGGCCCGCCTGGCATCCCTCCCACCAGTTTCCTTTTCTGTCTTCCAACAGGTACGCGGTGATCCGATTCAACCAGTACTTCAAGGTGAAGCCTCAAGTGTCAGCCTTGGAGATGCCAAAGTGACCAGCCGCCCCATCCCTCCCTCACCCACCTGCCTGACCAGACCTGGTCTCCAGAGCTCAGCCCTGCTCTGGGGTCCTCACCCTTGGACAAGGTGGGGGTCCAAGGAGATGGCTTTGTCCCTGCTGCCAGCCCCCAGTGGTTGCCACTGAAGACCTCATTCTCCTGTCTGGAGGGACTGATAAGGACCCAACTCTGGGGGTCCCCTTCACCTCGCCAGGCCTGGGAGGAAGTGCCTGCAGACAGCCAGGGCCTGGACTGCACCACCCTGAGAAGAACACTGTTCCCAGACCCAGGCCCTGCTGGAATTTGGGCTGCCTTAGATGTGTCTTGAACCCTTCCTGGCCTGGGGAAGGAGGGGGGAGGGCTCCTTTCTACCTCCGGTGCCCTGAGCCTCTAGCCCGTCCCCCCACCCTGCATGCCCCTTGTGGAAGGTGCTGAGCCCCAAACCAGCATCACGCTAACACTGACACATGGATGTACATATCTTGGTGGAGAAGGGGAGCCCAGACTTGGGCGTGACAGCACCCCCAGCAGCCACCTCACCTGAGACCCCTCACCTCCAAACCAGACTCAATCAACCCCTTCCCAAGCCTCGGCCTGAGGATATGGGCCCCAGCACCTGGCTCTCCTGTGCTTGTTTTGTTCCCTTCTAGGGGAAAAGGAGAGGGCGTGGCCAAGCCCTGGCCTGCAAAGCCTGGCTCAACTTCTGCTGTGGCTTGGCTGGAGGGGACGTGGCCAAGGGCGAGGCAACTGGAACCACAGCCTGCAGCCTGCAGCCTTCTACCCAGCTGCCTCCTCTGCCCTCCAGGCCCTCCTCCTAAGGATCTGTCTCTGCAACTTCGGTCCTGAAGTCAGCCCAAGGTCTCCCCAGCTGGGAATGACTAGTGGGAGTCAGGCAGGGGGCCGGGGACCTCCAGGTCGTGTCCTGTGAGAGCCTGTGCAGGACCCAATTGGAAAGGTGCTGTAGCCTCCACCTTCGACAGCCTCCAACTCCTTTCTGTCCTCACAGCTTCTCGGGCCTCCTGGCTCTGGCCCATAAAGTGATTCATTTGTAAATTATCATGGTTTTCTGCATTAAAATGCTCATTTCTGGACTGCTGTGTCTGAGTGGCTATGGCGAGGCTTTGACTCCTGTGATGGGGAGCTGCGGGCGACAGCAGCCCCTCGCCTCCGTTGTCCCCTTGGGCTTCATGCTGAGGTCGAGGTGGCAGCCTGCAGACACTCCAGGGCTCCCTGGAACCGGGGCAGGGCTGGTGTCTCACAGCTGCTCTGCCTTTGACTAGGCTGCTGGAATCAGCTGCACCTGGCAGAATGCTGCTGAGAATAGACTGTGGATTGCCAGAACGTTGGTGACCAAGGTGATGAGCCCGTGACAGCCAAAGCAGAAGCGCTTGGGACATCTTCCTCAGTCATCTCTGGTTTCCAGCCATTGGGGGCAGAAAAGGAGACTACTCTGCCTGACAGCAGGCAAGAGCAATTTCTGAAACCACCGGGCATGGTGGCTCACGCCCGTGATCTCAGCACTTTGGGAGGCAGAGGCGAGAGGCCTGAGTCCAGGGGTCCAAGAACAGCCTGGGCAATTTGGCAAGGCTTTGTCTCTACAATAAGTCAAAAAAATTAGCCAAGCGTGCTGCATGCCTGTGGTTCCAGCTACTTGGAAGGCTGAGGCAGAAAGATCGCCCTAAGCCTAGCAGGTCGAGGCTGCAGTGGCTGTGAGGGTGACCCTGCACTCCAGCCTGGGTGACAGAGTGATACTCCTACTCAAAAAAAATCAAAAAAAATTCTGGAACCAATGTCACTTTCTCTGAAGGCCAGAGGGCAGGTAAACCAGAAACAAAGGTGAGAAGGGAGCACCCCTCTCAGCAGCCCTGGGCTGGGCAGCAGCTGCTTCCAGGACCCCCCAGCATGTGCCCAGTGCCCTTAGCGGCAGCAGTGGCAGCCGCCTGCCAGGTGGACTCTGGTTGTTTGGCTTTTGCCTGCAAAAGTGCCAGGGTGCCATGGCAACCGCTGGAGCTGGCGCCAGCAGCTGGCGCCTTCAAGGTCACAGTGATCCAGCGAAGCTAGGCCCTGCGTGGGTAGCAGCCTAGGGGGGTGCTAGTGGAGAACCCGGGGGAAGAGGTGCCAGGGTACAGGGGTGCTACCAGGGCTGGGCAGGCAGGGGCCCCCAGGGGGCACCTGTGGGTAGATGGCGGAAGACACCACCTGTCTGGACTAAAGAGCAGTGCCTCCCCCCACCCCCTTATTCCATTTGGGGTTTTTTTGAGTCAGTCTCACTCTGTCTCCCAGGCTGGAGTGCAGTATGCAACCACAGCTCATCACAGCCTCAACCTGCTGAGCTCAGGTGATCCTTCTCAGTCATCCAAATAGCTGGAAACACAGGCACACACCACCACGCCCGGCTAATTTTTTAATTTATTGTAGAGAAGAGGTCTCGCCATGTTGCCCAGGCTGGTCTCAAACTCCTGGGCTCAGGCAATCCTTTGACCTTGGCCTCCCAAAGTGGTGGGATTACAGGCATGAGCCACCGTGCCCAGTACCCTTCTTGTTCCCCCTCAGAGCCACCTCTGGAATAGAAGGCAGAATTCTCACTGAAGTCAGCCTTGTTCTCAGCCTCCTGGGGCCTTGATGTCACAGCGTTGGAAACAAGTGTTGCAGTAGTGAGCAGGAACTGTCTGGGACAGGACCCCCAGGTATCCCACTGGTCTCCCAAGGTCCCAGCCACTAACTGCACGGGAAGGAGTTAACCCACAGGCACCACCCCACTGTCTCTTTGAGAAATCCCTCTAATTCCTCCAGTCCTGGGGGCGGGATAAGCAGGTGGAGGGGCACGCTCCTCCCCCACAAAGCCGAGCAGTTCCCCCTTTCCTCTTTCACTGCCACCCCAGGCTAACCAGCACCCCGGTTCCTGCGGCTCAGCCCCAGACCCTGGGGACTCAACAATCTGGGCTCCAACCCCGCGGGCCTCTTCCGAGACACCGGGCAGGAGCTCCAGGAAAAGGACTCCTGGGAGGAGGTTCACCTTCCTGGTGCACTCTGACCCTTGGTCTCTCCAGGAGAGGCACAGAGTGGGCAGAGAACAAGCTCGTGGCCCAACATTCCTGGTAACAACCAGGACACTTTGTTCCTGGCCTCTGTGGCTTACCTGACCCCACCCTGCCTCTCATGGAACAAGCAGGCGGGGCTCCGGGGCACCAGCCCCCTAAGAGGACGCAGAACCTGTTGTCTCAGCAGCTGGAACGAGACCCACAGGTCCCTGGAGGGGCATGTGAGCAAAGCAGTACAGGCCCCAGGCTTCCCGGGACCCCAAAGTACTCGGGAATAGAGAAGAGGAACTCGGGACTGGCAGGTGAAGTGAGGACGAGCCAGGCTGAGAGAGTCTGAGTAGGATGCGTGGAGCTGGTTTGGAAGAGCCAGGGCCGGTAGCGGGGGCAGAGGGTAGAGGGGATGGACCACGAGCGGTGAAATGAGCAGTTCTCCTTCATGACCACTAGGGGGCAGGCGCCGCCGCCAGCCAACTTCCCTCACCTCCGCCGGCATCATTTCCAGACCTGGCCTGGCGTACAGAGGGCAAAGAAAGAGGCCCAAAGCTCTGGGGGGGAGTCCAGCAAGCCAGCAGCCAGGACTCCCCCAAGATCACATGGCCAGGTCCCTAATTCTTGGGGACTTTTCATCCCACGCCCTCCCAAGTCTGTGGCCCCGCAGTCAACCACATCTACCTGCCCTCACCACCACCCTCTCCAATCTAGAAATTCCTCTGCCAGTATTCAAGAGGCCCAGCTTGGGGAGTTCCTGGGTTGGGAAGTTCACTTTACTACTTGTGAATGTCTTTGTCAAGAAAACTCTGTATGCTCTTTATGTTATGCAACTATAGACCCTTGGAGACTTTCACCTAAGAGCCCAAGTTCCACCTCCTCGGCTACGTGGACTATCTACACCCTTGCCCACCTGGCCGCTTTGCAGAAAGCAATCTTGCCCTTTCTGCCCACCTTCCCTCTAAGGACATGTCCACCGGGATCCCGCCAGGCCTCCTCTATGCAGGGTGCCTGCTTCTGGGCCCCTCCACTGTGACAACAGTCTTTTCTAGTGAGGGTGCTGGGAAAGGCCTGTGTGGGGTACACTGGACCATCAATCACTTCCCTTATTGTGAACGCAAGCCTCTATGAGTCTAACCCACGTCTAACTCTTCCCCAAGAATTGCCATTCAGTTTTGTTGTTCCCATCCCATACTGATGCCATTATGGTGGTCTAACCATGAGTTCTTTGTATAGATCCTGGTAAATATGCCCTTTTAGGCCTCTTCTTTCTCCTAGTGTGAGAACTATGTCTTTGAAATTTTCACTCCAAGCTTTACATTCACGGATAGAAACCCTCCTTCATTAATCGATATTGTGGGGGGCTCCTATGTGGGCTTTAGGGCGTCTGTGAGCCCTTTTCTGGGATGAGGGGCTACAACTTTCATTAGCGTCTCAAAGGGCTCTTCCTCTCAGAAAGAGGGTAAGAACCATGGATAAAGTTTAATCCTCTTGCTTCCAGATTAGGACAACGAGGTCCAAAGGAGTCCTAACCCCATCCCCACCGTCAGCCATGTGCTTAGTTCTAGGGAGAACCTGAGCCTCTTGACTCTTTATTACAGTGCTCTTACACTGGACCTGGGTGGCGTCGGTCGCTTGCGGGCTTGGACAGGACCTCCCTTACCTCAGCCAGTTCCTCCGAGGCCCCATGCCAGAAGTTCCCACAAGCTGCCACCAGGGGGCAGTGGTGCCCGGGCTGGCGGCATATTTAGGAATTCTGGACTTAACCCAGCTTCCCTCCTCCCCAGCACAAGGGCCAGATTCTGAAATGATCTGTCTTTATTATGCCATCAGAAAACAAACAAAAAAAAATCCCCCGAGTGTAAACAGGAGAAATGTGCTGGTTAAGTTACTCATCATTATCTTATTATTAACAAAATAAAGCACTATCTATGTTTACAGTCATAAAAAAAGAAACAGCCTGGAGAGAAGTGGGGGCTTTGGGGGGGTGGAGAATATGGGGGGGAGCTGGCACAGACTCCACATCTGTGAGATTTAGGGTTCCCTTCCCACCCAGACCCGAGGGCTGTTCCAGATCTTTGGAGGCCCCATGGGATTTGATTTCTGCAGGGAAATAGCATGTGGCACTGATCAGGAGGAGTGAGGACTCATGCCCTAGTGTGGGGGGGAGGGGCAGCGGGAGAGGGGCAGAGCCGGGTGGGAAGGACTGAAGCCCGAGTCTTCTGACCAACCTCTTCCATGAATGGGGAGCCCCTGCCCTGCGCTCTGGGGGAGGAATGGAGACCAGCTGCTTTGGGGAGCCCCATCTCCAGGGCTTGCCACTGGCAGGAAGGGGAGCACCATCAATCCTCCTGGGATCAGGTTGGGACCAGGGGTGGCGGCACCAGGACAAAGCCCGTTGGAGGCCGAGGCACATTCCCATGCTGCTCAGAGCTAAAAATGGCTCCGTGGGAACCGACTGGCAGAGTCAGGGAGGCAATGAAAGGGCGAGCAGGAGGTCGTCAGAAAGGTTGATGGGCCCGGGGCAGGCCAGGGGCCTACAGAAATCCAGAGAATCCAAGGGGCATCAGAGGGCAGGGACAGACACCAAGAAAGGCGGGGAGAAACAAAGCGGGCCTTGCAGAGAGACAAGGAGAAAGGGGGAGAGAGAGAAATGCACACAAGGACACACAGAACCTGAGACACCCAGACCGACAAAGAGGTAGCAATTTGGGGACAAAGAGAAGCACAGAAAGAGGCCCCCAGAGAAGCAACACCCACAGGAACTCAGCAACAGCGCCTGGCACATAGCGGACACTCAATAAATAGTTTGTGCAATGAATGAACAGATGAAAAAACACACATGTGCGCGCATGCGCGCACACACATGCACACACACACGCACGCACACACACACACACATACAGCAGCCAGAGGCACGATGGGCTTGGCAGAGGTGAGGACAGCAACAGCCAGACCCTTCTGCACAAAGTACAAAGTGATCCCAGGGATGGGACAATCTGGGTGAGTGTGGGAGGGGGTGTTGGTCCCACAGTGGCTGGTCCAGCCAGGACAAGAATGGA